ACTCAACCACATGGCTCCTTTCCAGATGGAAGCCAAGCAGAAGTCAGCTGAACGCGCTCTGTGACCATTACGGGGAAACCGGGGTGAGATTTATTAGGAAATGGGTGTGAACAGCTAAAGGACAGTTTTATTTCCCCTGCTGGGAAATGCAGGCAAATCAGAGCCCCTCCTTACCTTCTGGTGCCTGCTGTATGCCCTGGGACAGTCACAGCATGAGGACAAAACCTGGCCAAGACCACCAGTTAGAGAAGCAGCATCTTCCAGAAACTCCATTTGAAGCTGGACTCCGGGCTGTAACGGCTTTCAGACGAGAGGAGACACGGGTTCTTCTCACTTTCGCTCACAGAAATTATACTCACATACTGCATGGGAGCGTGGACCCGTGAAACCCAACTGCTGCTGCTAAACATCATGCTTTTTATAGAAAAGCTTTTCACAGAAATACCATGGGAAGATAATTACACCATCAGCGTGACCTTTCTTAAATTATCTTGGCTACACACATGCCAATCCACTGCAGAGAGATACCAGGCTTCACTTCACAACTGCGTTCGTAAGATGTGTGCCCCAAGCCAGGAAGAATTTACCCCATAAAAGGTCCTAGGCGCCGTCTCCTTGCTGGCACTCGGCTGGGGGAGCACAACACAAACCTACGGGCGGGCTCCAAAACTACCTACACCCCCCCAGAGACCAGGGCCCCCGGGTGTTGCACCGGTCACCCTTGCACATTGAAAATCAACTCTCAGCCCCGATATTCCGGTATCGCCGGAGACTCAGAAAAGCACAACTGACTCCAAAAAGCTTAACTTTTGCATTGCCTACGCTTACGGCCTAGCAGAAACTTTGGTTTTCTTTTTCCGTGTCTGAGTAGGTCAGAGAGATGACAAACTGAAGTTTAAAAACAAAGAAAAACCCACCATCGCCAGCTTCCCCTTATTAATCTCACTTTCCCCCTTATTCCGTCTTTCCCCTTCCTGCAGGTTTTTTTTTTTGTTGGATTTTTTTTCTCTTCAATAAAATAAACCTTCGGAGTCCATCAGTCCCTACAGCATTAGTCTCCAGTGCTACCCTCCCCAAAAAACACACCAAAAATCCATATTACTGTTGGCAGCGGCTTGCTTCAGGAATTCCAACTAGTCAGCAAGGCATGACCTCTCATTCCTGGAACCACACGGCCTATCTTTGATCGAGCTGTGTGTTCTCGCTTGTCCCGCGTTTGATCCCTTTAAAATAGTTCCTAGGTGTCTCTTCCTTCTTCCCACCCAACACAATAAGTCTAGAACAAATCTCACATGCCTCAAAAAAAACCCCAAAACACTCAAAAAACCCCACACACACTAATTTCAGGGAGATTTCCTCAAAAAAAAAAAAAAAGCTCGATGAAACCAGCGATGAGCCCTCAAAGGCAATTTCATACTGTGATTTAAAAAAAAAAAAAAAGGCAGGGGGTCTTCTCAAACTGAAAAAAAGGGATATTGCCACATTTAAGCTAGGCACAGCATAGGTTGTGGAGCGTGGATTAAAAACCAAGCTATCCCACAAACCTGGCAGCATCCAGCTCTGCATCCAATGATAAAGCGATACTTAAAATCTTCTAAGCAGCTTTGGGGAACGACCACGTAATCGGGTAACACCACACCCTTCGCTGCAGCATCTTGGTTAGGACGCAAAACAGCGAGTGGAAAACGCAGTGCAACGTGGTTCCTGCCTCCATGCAGCCAGACAAGGCTTCGCGTTCCCAAATGAAACTGGAAAGTCAAGTCGTGTGGAATACTGAACAGCCTAAACCCTCTTTTTTGTTTTATATATGTTTTATATACACATTTATGTCTCCCCTCTCCCCTTCCCCCTCCTTCATTGCTGGGAGGGCTGTTAAAATCCTCCTCCTCTCTCTTCTGCCTCATTGATTCACCATTTCTTTTCAAATCTCACTGAAAACAGCACTTTCCAGGCTAGTTTCTATTACTCCTAATTTCCTGCTCTCTCATCTGTTACAGCCAGCTGGAAACAACTAGAAATCCACAGGTCCCAAGCCGCTCAGGAAGAGAAATCCCACTGAAGAACTGCAGGCAACCCCCCTCCATTCCCGCCGGGTGCCAGCCATCACTCAGAGAAGCTCCACTAAAGGTTTGGGATGGTTTTTTCCCTCCTCCTCACACTCATCAATTGCTATTTACCTTTGTGAAATCACGCGCCAAGCTGCATTCGTACAGTCAGTTACCGTTATTCAGCAGAGTCCACTTTTATACAGAAAGTACCGACATCCTCCAGGTAGTCAGGATATTCTGCTTGGTCCAAACTGGCCAAATCCTCGGTATACTTCCTATCAGTGTGCTGTGCAACAGTTCTTTAGCATTTATACTGGTTTGGCAGTTGGGCTAAATTTAAATAAGCCTTTTAAAATATTGGGAAAAACCCTCAGAGACGATCCTCTCTATATGGTGATCATAAAGCATCAGGAGTCTGTTGGCAGTGACTTGACGTCCGCCTGTGTTGCGGATACTTACGGGAAAGCACTTGTCAGAGCGGGGTCGCATCGCTGAAACGCAGCTTGACAAGCAGCCAGCGAAGGCTGAGGTCAGGCTCGTTACCAGATCCCTCGGGGAAGAACACGTACAGCTTATTAAAGGCCCAATCAGGCATAAAAGCCAATTGCAGTTCTTTGAGGAGCCAAGTGTCATCTCGCCCACTGCAGAGCTTCATTCACACCCAAACGCAGCACAGTCAATCCTTCACGCGCCCGCACACCCCAGTTAAATCAGACTGGTACTAATCCCATACCTAGGCGACAAGAACTTGCTTATTTCCTCCTTCCCCCTTTGTTAATAACAGCAGAGCTTGGCACGTATTTAATTGCAAAATTAGCTTTGCGTGAAGTAGGACTCGTGCGCTTTCCTGCTTCAGGGGTGTTCAGGAAAGCAGAAAAGGTCTGAGTCTGTTCTGTCCCAGCTCCATCGCTCCCAGTAACAGCTTCCCAGGTGTTCACTACTACAGTCTTCCTCCAGCTACTGCTAATTCGGCGTGGGCCTGTATCCCAACAACAATATTTTCCAGGGAAAGTAAAAGTACCTAGAAGTTATCTTTGGCAATAAAAATAAAGTTAGGCCTTCTCTTAGCCCTACCACCTGGCATGCTTTAGTGGCGTGAAATTTCCCCAAACCAGGGAAAGGACCAGGGCTGGAGCCTTACCCCCTGCTCTGGCTGCAGATGGCTGGCTGAAAATCGCTTCCTCCGGTTCTCCTCAGTCTTTCCGGAGGCTGCAGCCCCTCCAGACACACGCACACGTCCTGCGAGACGCCCTCACAACCTACCTAGGAGGCAGATCAGCAGCGGGGCCACCGCACAGCAAGTCACAATGGATGCAAGCGTGAAGGCCAGTACCCCTCCCTTCCAGCATCACAACGCACCACTGGAGGGGGTATTTTCCCAGGGCTTCAGAGCGGGGAAATAGGGGAAAAACTCAAAGTCCTCTTTTCTAAAACCCAGGACAAAATATTTATTCAAAAAGTCTCTGGGACACAGAGACGGGAACCATATTCCAAGACTGCGTTAGTCAGTCCAGGAGACTGTCACCTTAACGTTGTCGCTTCCTGACCACGTTCTGCAAGGAAAAGTCCACGCGCACACGTTTCAGTAACGACGCCTCCAGTAAGCTGTCTTCCCTGCAAAGCCAGCTGATGCGATCAGTCAGGAAGCTGATCATCTGACAGAACAGGGCTGTTCCATTAAAAAAACAACCCCATGAAATTATAAGTTTAGACAATGTTCCAAAACCTGCCTTCCGTTAGCCTCTCTCTGCTCTCACAGAAGCCCACGGTAGAAGACTAACTCCAGATTTTGGACTGTCACAGGCGCAGTCACACTGTTAAACAGCGTGAAGGCAAAGGAAGCCCGGAGAATATTTACAGCTTCTCAGCCACGAATATTCTTCTGCCAGCAGAGCCTCTGCCCTCCAGTCGCGGCCACGCAATCAAGAGCGACAGTTTACACTGCACGTCAGATGCAGCAAATGGACTTACTCAGACAACTAGATCCCGCGTGCGCTAATATTAATTAACATTGCTAATTTCTTGCAGTGCTTTGCGGAGAGAAAGGCTACATTTGAACCGACTGTTAACACATTATTTGAGCAGTCGAGTATTAAGGTACAAACCGCACATTAAAACCCAAGGCAAAATACTGATTGCCTTGGAATCTAACCTAAACCTGTCCCAAAGGGTTTTCAGCGAGTAGAAAGATGGTTTAATGCGAACATGACTCACTCCACATTTATGAATAGGCAATGAACTTGTGAACACCACATGGTATCACTTAGCAGAACACAAACACAACTGCAGTTAGTTACAGCGCCACTCTCCATTTTAGGAGAGAATTAGGTGCTCCTAAGACATCCTCTGAAAGCCCAGAATACTTTGAAATTCAGTAACAGACACTTAGGGAAGCAGGAATCTGCTTCTCAGGAAGCAATTCAAGCAGATTCCTCTCAGAAGAGGCCTTAAGAACACCACGATTGCTGAAGCGGGTGGAACACAACCTGAATAAGGCTCTCTGGGGAGACACTAAGCAGCTCTGTTTAGGAAGCAACACGTAAAGCTGAAGAGCTTTGGCTCTTTGGAGTACGCTACCACTGGAACGACTCTTTCTGAAGGCAGTAATACTGAAGTACCAGGAAAACACTTTGCTCGTTGAGAGATCGCGCGAGATTCCTGTTGCACATCGCGTATTTCTAGATGCCGCTAAATTAAATCAACTTTGCGTTAGAAATAGCAGTCTTTAATAAGAATACTACTCAAAGTATGTTTGCCCTAAATAACGCACCATCCAGCAGTTCCTTAAAAGCCTCTTGTCCTTTATCGATGACAAGTACTCTATAGAAATATTTATGCTTGAGCACATAAAAGAAGTCCCTGCTGCTTTAGAAGCAGGTCGCTCTTAGCCTCTGCTCTTTCGCTCAGAAAGCAGCTGCTGGTCAGCACCGTGCTTGTCTTGCCGATCAAGAGCTAAATAGAGGAATCCACAGTAAAGTGCCCGTTCTGAGAAAGCGTTCTGCGGTCTGTGGTGTTCAGCTTCACCACCGTGGGGGTGTATTTGGAATTCCTATAACAGACAAAGCAGAGGATCCTCCGGAAGGTGCTACGCATCTCATTGTCCCTGTAAGAGTAGACAATAGCGTTTATCAACGAATTGATCTCTGCCAGCAAAAGGACGTATTTCTCCACCGCTAGAACATTGCAGCTCTTGCAGCCCAAGCCATCCAGGAGGAGCACAACTTGTCCTGGAGTCCAGCAGATGACAAAAGCACCTGGGGAGAGAAGAACCCCTGTTAGAGAAAAAGCAGGTTCCCAGCCCTGCCCAGTCACTCACCACAGAGATGCTCAATGGAATCACTGGCGTTTTATCTTGTGAAAAGAGTTAAAAAAAAAAGGGGGGGGGAGGAACTAGTTTCACTCCGTATTTTTGCTTTGGAGGAAGACCAAGGATTCAACCAGCAAATACCAAAAATGGAGGCACTGTTTTTCCCCCCCTCCGCTCACTCAGAACAACATTTCCGAGTACTTTCACTTACCTCCCCCCATCCCCATCGTTGCATTTACAGAGTGAAGATCAAGCGTCCATATTTCCTATTTACCTGCCGCTCCCTCCAAAAAGGGGAACAAGCCATAAAAATCAGGGAAGAGTCAGAGTAACACATCTCGAATGAAATAATCCCCACTGTCCATACGGTTTATGAGCATTTTAGTTAACAGCATGAGTTCAGAAGAGCCCTGGCCAACACTTCGGGCAGTCCAACAGAGGCTCTCTCACACAGCTATACGCCGAGTAGGAAATAGCCAAGCAACGGGCTGGCCAACGCCAGGACCGGGCTGGGCAGGCTCCACCGCTGATTCAGACGGGCTGATACCATGCTCTTGCCACCACCTGCAAAGCTCTTTGGCAAATGGGATAATTGCTGTTCGCATGACGGAGTGGGAGGTGCTTGCGGCTCCTAAAACCTCTTTTTACAGTCATGTTTGTAAGGCTGACGTAAATGGAGCACTCGCCCATCGGTGCTCCTGGAGGTCATGCATAAGGTTGTATCTTAAAGCACAGGAGCTGCACCCTGCTGTGCCTTCTGGGAAAGGGTGGAAGAGAACGAGACTCGGTGGAAACTTTGCGGCTACACCCTTTACTGAAAAACATCTGTCAGGAAAGAACAACAGCCAGAGGAGCCGCACCAAAACCGAGAGGCTGAATTTAAAGCTGTCCCTGAGCGAAACGCTGCACTAGTGAAAAGTCAAAAGGAACACACGGGTGGGATCTCCTGGGTTTCTGGGAGTGTTCCCTGCTGATTTCAGGCCACTGTAACTCTTTTTAGTTAAGCAAATCATGCTCCCAGAAGCTCAGCACAGGAGCCACCGCATCTGGGCCAGGCACCTTTCCCTGCGCTTTCAGACATGACTTTGCCCCCTTTAAATTTCGCAAATATGCAAGAGAGATTCCTGGCTGTCATGAAGGAAGGTCCAATACTGCTGTCTTGAGTAAGCCTGCAGGAAAGGGGCCTCCTCCTTTAGTGATGTAACTTTTTTTTAGCCAGGTTTTCAGCACCCACAAGGCAAGCCAGATTCTCTAGAGACTGGCTCCCAGCAGCACTAAGCCAGAGGAATATTAAAGGCGAGAGGGGAAAAACAAAAGGAGGTACCCAAAAAGTTTTGGGCCTTTGCCTGCAAATCCAGTGATGTCCTTGCTCCTTAATGGAAGCTAAAGTATTCAGAAAGAAGCCTGAACTCTTAATAATCTAACACAGCATCGTCATTAATGGCTCTGCCCTGTGGTTTGGTCACCATGACACCCTGTGTCGCTCAGCTGGCCTGTGGGAAAATTTGCTGCTAGTTTCCAGATGTACCTTGGACTTATCATTGGTTTCCAGGTCAGCTCCGAGACCTGTTCTTAATGCCCAGGACCTGCAGGATTACCAACCACGGCTACCTTGCCTTGCAAGGAAGTGGCGCACACAGACAGCTCCTACCGCGCCCTCACCAGCGGCTACGCCCTCTGATGCATAAGGCGCAAAGTATTCCTCTGTGCAGAGTCCAAGTTTGCAGAAGGCTGGGGAACGAGGGTGGAGAAGGAATTACACCAGGGCTTTCACAGGGAGAGAAAAAACCCTCTGCGGTCCCAACTTTCTGTACGCTGAGTCCGAACAGAAAGGTATTTCCCCCCCAAGTTGGGCAATTCCCTCCCTTGTTCCCTCCTGTGCAAGGGACCTGTTCAGAACCGTCTGCTGCTTCTCTCCGACACTGTCCCGCAGAGAAAGGGGAAAAACCCTTGGGTTACAGGAGTCCCAAAGGCCCGATGAACCCCTGAGTCTCCCTCAACTTCCCACATTAGGTTCCTCCCTTCTCTGTCCGTCCTCAGACACCAGTCCCAATTCCCTGTGAAACCACAGCAGCTCTCCCGAGCCTCCTCTGACCCAAGCTTTTTCCTCACTCGGTGCAGAAGACAAAAGGCAGGCAGGCCAAGCCGGGAGCGGGGACAGCAAGAGGAAAGGGATCTCCCAAAACAAGGTGATGCACCAAGCGTGAATTGTATTTTCCTTCTTGGAAATTGTATTTTCCTTCTTGGCCAGCATCCCCATCCTGCCGACCCTCTTCCAGTTGCTGTTGTGAAGTGCTATAAAATTAAGCAGTCCTGCTGACACCACGGGGTGACCCTCCAACACTGTTCAGGGAGGAAAGGGGGAACAAAACTTCTCTCCACTGCGGGCTGCGCAAAATACATGAAGTAAATCATTCTTCAGCCCTGCTGACCCTCTGTGCTGCATCTGATCAGCTCCAAGGCAGTAATGAACTCCCAGCTGCGCACAAGAGAGGGAGAGATTGCGGGGCAGGGAAGACGACATGACAGGAAAGGCAGGAACAGGCAGAAAACTCCAGTTTCAATGCTCACAAGTTGCAACAGGACCCGGCAAGCCTCCTGCTCCTGAGCAGGGCCACACCAAGCCGCCCGACAGCCCCCCCTGCTCCCCTCCCCTGCTGAGCCTGCTCTGCCAGCTGCAGTTTGCAAGGGAGTAGGTTTTGTTTGCAGCTACAAGGTTTCCCTGACGGAGCAAATTCTGCGCTTATCAGGAAAGATTTGCAAGCAAAGGGTTGCGACCATAAGCCCAGAGTCGAGCTGGGTTGTGGAAGATCTGAGCGCATTGATTTGTTTCACTTTAAAGAAAGGCTGTTAGACCATTAAAGCATGAGATGAAAGCAGATTAAAGAAACCACGGAGCGAAAGGCTGCTGAAAGCACAATGCATGCACCAGCCTCTGCTGTTAGATGCCCAGCACATTATCGGAATAAAGTTAAATATCCTGGAGAGGCAGAGCCTCAGTGCCAACCACTTCCAGTTACTGATCTGCTCCTATTTGCACTGCAGATGCAGACAGACAGGCAGTTAGCGCTCTGCTGGAGATCCCGTGCTCACAGAGAACAGCTCAAACTAAGAGAGTTGAGAGCTCCCAAGGATATATTTACCCAAGCAGATTGAGACCTGGTACTGACCTGCTCAAAAAAAAAGTCTGAACAGAGTTCAGCGCTTTGTTCCAGTAAACAGTAAGGAATTTGGATGCAACTCCCTCGTTCTTCCCCCATCACCTTTAATATCTGCCCCAAACCTTCCTCCATCCTTTCATAAAGGATGCACCAAGTGCTGCTTCTTGATTAAGGCCTGATTATAGCTCCTAATTCCATGCTGCTCTTCTACAGAGGAAGCATACTAGAGCACATAACAGAGCCTCTCGTTTGCCCAAAGCACCGGCACTTACAGTAGTCAGATATTACCAAGTCACATCAGTAACAGTCCCTCTTGTCCCTGCTAACCAGAGGAGCAGCCGTGACAGAGGGGAAGAGATTCTGGGGCTCGCCCTCCCCTCTGCCTGCCAGGTTCCTCCCATTACAGCTCACACAATTCATGCAGAGTCTTGAAACTGGTGAGTTCCTCAGGAGCCGCACCAAACCATCACCCCAGCAGCTTCAGAGACCAGGGAAGCAGAACGTCACTTCCCAGTCCTCCCCGTTGTCCCGAGCACGTTCACCTCTCCAGCCCCGCACAACCCAGGACGAAGGATCAAAGCATCGCTTCGATTGACTACAGCAAGGGGACTTACTTAGGATAATGGTGACCGTCTTGACAAGGCTGATCATGGTCTCCTTGTAGCGGGGGTGGAAACTAGTATGCTTGGACATCCGTGTCATCTTCCTTTTGACATAGATGAAGATGTGCGTGTACACAACCACCATGATCAGGAAGATGACAAGGTTGGAGATGGCCCAGAAGGTCAGGTAGCTCCTGCTGTAGAGCGGTGCCATGCTGGAGCACTTCTCCAGGGCACAGAGGCAGTGCCAGCCGTAGGACGGGATGAGCCCCAGGAGCAGGGCCGTGACCCAAATACAGAAGATCAGGATCATCACACGCTGGTTGGACATTTTGCTGTGTAACTGCATGGTGAACACAGTCTGGTGCCTTTCTACAGCGATCGCCAGCAGGTTCACCACGGAGGCTGTCAAGCTGGTGTCCAGCAGGCTCTGGCGGATGAACCAGGTCTTCAGGGAGAGCTCTGCTGTCCTGGGCCCCGTGTGGAACATGAGGAACATGTACGCGATGCCAGCAAAGAGGTCGGCAGCTGCCAGGTTCCCCAGCAGGTAGTAGATGGGGTAGTGGAAACGCCGGTTGATGATGATAGCGGTGATGACCAGCAGGTTGGTCAGGAGCACGATGACACTCACCGTCAGGCCCAGGGCAACGACCAGGACATCCTTTGTCCTCCAGTATGTGGTCAGCTCTTTGCGGCTGTTGTTGTAGAAGAACCCCACAGTCTCATTGTAAAAACAGTGCTTCATCGCTGCTGTCCTAGAGAGGGACGAGAGTATCGTTAGCTTGTTGTGCCCACACACACAGCTATTACAAGCCGGGGAGATGCTGAGCATTATGATAGTGCCTTTGCCACAGATGAAGGTGGGGAAGAGCTTGAAACATACAGAAACCACCACACGAGCAACAGAAAACCGCTTCTGTACTCAAAACAGAACTACACATCTCACAGGCCGCGTCCTCATCTGTTCTCAAAGCCACGCTGAGGATGCAGCAAAACCTTGACTGATCATGGGAGGAGAGAAGGTTTGCCAGATCTGATAAGAGATTCTCCCTGTCCAGCCCACGCAGCTTCATGGGGATGACAGACAAAACTGTTTTCATTGTCCCAGATGTCCTACTTCAGAAATGCAAACACAAAGCAGCAGCAAAGAATGTTTATCAGTCAGTCACTAAACAACGCTCTGATGAAGCCTATGAGCCTCTGCAGCTGTTGCAGTCCCCAGGAGTGCTGCTTCTGGTTCAGCAACCACAGATCGCTCATCTTTCCTGGGTAGTTTTATTGCTTAAAGGCTAACGTCATGCACAGCTGCTTCCGAACGCTGCTCTACGCACAGCAATCCTTCCAACACAGGTGAGTACTTCCCAAACCTTGCCAAGGGGCAAAGAGCACATAGAGCTGGGCAGAAACAAACTCCTCAGCCCAGAAAAGCAAACAGCAGCAAGTCAGCGCATACGACGGCGGGGCTGGATCTCTGCAAGAGCTGGATCCTCTGCAAGCCCCGCAGCGCTTCCAGGCTACACAGCAGCGTGTGGGGCAGCACCCAGAGTATCAACCTCAGAATAAAGTCACCTGGGCAACTCCCTTCTTCCCTTCCAGCTCTGGAACAAGCTTGCAATTCAAAACCCATTGAACTCCGTTGAAAAACTGGATAGGAAAAGAGATTTAGGTCTCAAGGAGGACATCTCACATTTCTTTGATGCACTGGGCACTGCTGGGAGCAAGACCAGACAAGCCATACGTCTGGATCATAACGTTAAGTCTTAATTTTGAAAGCCCGTATACCTCTCTGGTAATGAGCTTCCTGTCCTGTGGACCGCCAAACGTGAAGCAGCAGGTTAAGCTGAAGGATGTTTTACCTTGCGGAATTAGAATTTAAAGCCGGTAATTGACGCTTGTGTTACTTGGCCACGGAAAAATGAAAACATGAAAAAAATACAGCACCGTGAACAAACCCAAGGGATGAGAAGCAGCCCGATCATTACACCCCGCAGCAGATGTTCGTGTTCCTTTCCTAACCAAGAGCTTGGAAATCTCAAGTCAGGGCTGGCTGCGGTCCCCGCTGGGACGGGCAAACCCAGTTTGGAGCCTCCTTCCTCGCGGCACCGAGGTGCTGAAAAGTGACACAGTTTTTCCTTACCCTGCTGTGTTCTGCACATGAAGTCACTGGTTCTCCCTGTCCTCACATGAGCTCAACCGCCATCCTCGCTTCAGAGAAAGCTTAAAGCAGACCACGCAGCAAGAGTGCCGTCCTCTTCAGACGGGGAGAAAAACCAAAGTGCCTGACTCACGATTCACTTTAAACACCCCTGAAACCAAAACACAGCTCAGGGGCCCTAATTAGCTGCATGTTCCTCCGCTCTCCAGGCAGCAATGGCTCTGTTTTCCGGGACACTTTCAGCAGGAGCTCTCGGCATAGCAGCAACGCTGCTGTTAGTAACAGGGAGGCGAGATCGTTGCAGGCAGGTCAGCTTATTATCACCTGCACCGCACCCACGCACGCACGCTGAGCGGCGTGAACAAGATGGGTGAGCCAGGAAACCCTGTTGTACCTGCAGCTGAACTTTTGATCTCCGTTGCCTCATGGGCTCTGTATCGGCCTGCTTTGGCATATGGCCGCCTTTACCTTGAGGCGAGAAAGCCGTACCAATGAACTACTTCAAAAATCTGAATAGGGAAATATTATTTTCACAAATATTGGTGGGGAAAAAAGGAAGAGGAGGCAGAGGAGGAATCAGCCTGCCCCAGGGGATGGAGTCGTGGGCTAGTGCTATATAACAAGTCCGTCTTTCCTCTCTTTTCAGCTCACGGGATGTTTGTAGACTCCCCTGCGCCGCTCTATGGCTCGGGATCGTGAGGTCCGAACGCAGTGCAGGGGAGGAACGCAACCGAGTGGGTTCTGCAGAGGTACCACGTGGCAGCTTGGCAGGTAACTGGGGAGGATTTGGGCTTGAACAGGGGAAAGCGGTGGAAGAACGAGGGAGGGAGGAAAGCCTAGGAACAGGAGGGACCCAACCGCTGTGAATCACAGGCAGGTAGATGACCACCTGCATAGGGTGTATCTGGGGAGGCACCAGATCCAAGGCTAGGCCACTCTTATGCAAAACAGTTTTCTCTAAACACTTTTGAAAGCTTTAATCCCCAATCAGAAAGGAAATTGCTGCTGAAGTTAGGTAAGGCTTCACCTTTTTAAGGTTACACATGTGGACGCCCAGAAACTTGCCTGCCTGTGCACAGGGTAGCACGAAGACAGCTCATGCCACGCTTTAATTTTTAAGAAACATTAAAATACTACAGTGAAATAATGTGTTGATGGATCTAGGTCTTATTCCCAGTAATTTTTGAGCTGACACCAAGACAAATTAAATCCAGATAAGGCTAGCTTTAAAATTGCCACTAAATTATGGAGACCTATCTTATTTTGTTGCAAATAAAGATTCCACAGCTGCGACAGGCCCCATAAGCTTCCTCGGTAAGACTGCACGCTCACTGGCAAACCATGAGCTTTTTTCAAAGCATTCTACAAGTACTGGTTCAATGGCATGTTTACTGGGGGAGGGGATTAGAGCTGTGTAAACCCACAAAGGAGCCGTGTTCTGCATGCGTAATACTCAAATCTAGAGAATAGTCCCTCAGCATTAGTCCCAATGACAACAGCTGAACTGCTTCTTTAGGCCAGACCCAGTCAGAGCACGGGGAAAAAAGTTTGAGAGTTGCAGAACCCTCCGAAACGTGCGTAGGTTACAAGCTGAAAGTGTGCAATGCCGGGAGCTGGGTGGGGTCCCGGAGGGACTGACAGGTTAATGCTCGTGACGGGTCCTGGGAGCGCGTGTGCCACTTCACTGCTACCCTGCAATTAGAAAACTGACCTTGGAGTTCGGCATCAAGGGCAGACACCACCACAAATCAAAAATTCACAGGCAGAGAAACACCCTGCCCACAGCAGCAAGCAGACAGAAAGTCAGGCTGGTGCCATGATGCACAAAGGAGCTGGATGAGCCTATTGTTCAGTGTCCGAGCAACCCCCTTCCATGGCCTTACACTCCTCAGCAGGATCTTACACGATTTTTTTTCCTTACCAGCATTGTTTACTCGGTAAAACAAGACTCTAGTTACATGCTGCAACAATTCAGCGGCCCCTTTCCTTGGGCAATACGCAAACACTCTTCTCTAATCATGCTGCCTCAAACTCCACTCAAGTCTCTCCCCCTTAAAATCCAGCGCAGCTTTTGCAGTTTGGTAGGAACCACTGCACAAAATGAGCACAGACCGCGTCTTTTCTCCTCGCCAGCGTTATCCGTACGCATACACCATCTCCCTCCTTACTCAGTTAATTACTGCCCCAGGTTCACGGTAAGTTCAGAGTCCTTTTACACAGAAAGTAAAGGTGTAAGCATCCTCCCTTCTCCAATTCCTCTTGCTTGCAAAAGTGGAAAATGCTAGTCAGCTCCTTCAGATCTGGGAAGACATTCAAGACTTGTGAACAAACCGACAGCCAGCGAAGTGTGGAAGCGAGCAGGGATGAATGGCTGAATTTATGCTCCCACTAATAACTGCAATCAGTGTCGATCAAGGCAGAACAATGGATCTATAAAGGCTCACAGCGACTCACATCCAACCTGTTTTACCCACGTCCACTGCACGCAGATTTACGTGGCCAAACATTCAAACCACTGCTATATTTTAAAGCCATAAACAGTACAAGGTTTTA